GCCAATTAAAGCTTTTGGCACATAAAGGGGTTGAGATTTAAACTATCCCCCATATTTTATAACATTAGCTTTTTACTACTATCACAGAGGACTGGCAAGTTCCTGTCCCTTACAAGATAGATAGTCATGGACATTAGGCATGCTTACAAACTCTTTCCATGACCTCCAGGCTCTGACCAGTTTTGAAGGGCCATACACAAATGACTCTAAGATCTGACATTTCTGACATCCAAGCAGTGGCTTACTGCCTCTGGATGCTTCTCCATTGCTCTTGTCCCAGGAGTGTCTTCTCTACACTGGATAAATGCCTCATTGGCATTTCCCTTAGCTGGTGGCTGGACTTGAACTCAGGGCCTGAGTGCTGTCCCTCAGCTCTACAACTCAAGGCTAGCACTCTGCCACTATGAGTCCCAAAGCAACTCTGCTTGCTCTTTCAGTACTCTGCTGGCTGAGTAGAGGTGACAGTCTCACAGGAACCTTTTTGTGCCCGGGCTGGCTTTGAACCAGTTTGCAGATCAATGAGTCTTACAAAAGGCCATTTTATTCCAATTAAAAGCAACAAGGTGGTCAACATAGAAGTAGCTTTTAAGCATGCTCTTACCTGAAACTTATTAAGAGTCAAAGTTACATCTGACAAACTTTTAAGAATCCTCTGTGCTTTGCTCTGGACTTTGCTGGAAACTTAAAAAAAAAAAAAAAAAAAAACCTATAAGAGCAAACTAGAATAGCAATTATTTTGGTAATCCTAATTTTTTTTTCGTGCACTTTGAGGCCAATGTTAAGAACAATTTTATATTTAAACTTTATATCTAAAAATCCATTTTTAATTATTTTTAAAACCTCTTATTAATCTCCTTTAATATTTTATACTTTAGTTTTTATCTGCGTTTTAAAAAACCTCTTAAAATCTTGAGGCCATGTGTCACTCATTGTCTCTTGGCTGCTTGTTTTTACACATTAAAACTTTTAAACTTAAATGACAATTTTTCCTTAATGCAAGAATTACAGTCACCATCACTATACCACGAAGCTAGACTTAACACCTTTATAACTTTTAAAAACATCCTAATTGGAGAACATAATTGAAAGTAAGGCACATTATACAAATAACTTTTTAACCCTCTTTTTAAGGCCTTCCTAATTTTAATGTTAACACATCCAAGGGGAAGTTTTAGCAATACTAATCAGATCATCACATCACTCATTTTAACCATCATGTTTTTAGTGTCTATCTGCAGGGAAAAGAGAGGACAAAGATGGGCCACTCAGCCCCTTCTATGGAATGGGCACACACCCAATCTGACTCTTTAGGGTTAGATGAACTGCGTTTGTGCCAGCTTACCTTCTTTTATCATGCGTGGACTTCTCCCAGGACTTGTCCCACCATGCATGACGAGTTGATCTGCACTTCTGCCTGTTCACCCCTTACCTCTAAAGACAGGTCTTCTGTTGGTTCTTGAATGAAATACACAGTTTTAGGCAGACAGAACAGGTACAGTCTTTGACAGTGTTAAATTAACCTTTACATTTAAATTTTTAATATTTATCCCCAAATTTTAGCCAAGGGAACTAAATTTCAAACAGCCAATGCATTTTTGTTAAGCCAGATAACTTGATTACAGTATAAACAGTCTTATGCATTTTAAAATATTAGTTTTTTTATACCAGATTTTTTTTATTTTCCGAGTTAAAGAATCCTTAAAAAGTCATTTAAAACACTATGAAGATTTTTTTTAAATTTTTGTTAATGTCCAAACCTCATAACCTTTTGAATCTTAAATTTAAACTCACCCAATTGTTACAGCATGCTGAAAATTTTTATCTTTGTACATGTTCACAGACACACAAAACACTCACACAGATCTTAAAGCGCACAAAAATCAAAATCAGTTGTACGTACACCTTTTAAAGTTCTTAAACAAAAATTTAGGACAGTGTTTCTTTTAAACTCGGTAACTTTGTTGGGCTTCATTTTCCCAGAGCTTGCTTGTTTAGCAAGACAATTCACTAATTAGTCTTTTGAATCCCTTCCATTGGAGGAGGGCTGGGGGAGGGGGTCACCTAAAACTAAACTGGCCAGATTTTTTTTTATCCAATTTTAGACAAGAGCACTTTACAAATTGTTACATTGTCAGGACTAGCTGAAAAAGTCCAAACCAGGCACACAGCCTTCTACACCCTCCCTGCCGGCAGCCTCCACAAGGAGAAAATGCAGCCTGAGGCTTGAAGGGAACCAAACTAGCCCAGTAACCTTCCATGCCTCACAGAGAGGGTGGGCATAGCAGGTCTGTGACGGAGCCCAGCTGGAACTCCTATTTCCCCAGAGATGTTCAAATAAATAAATAACAAAAACACAGATAAACATAAAAACCAAGGATCCACATTTAAAATTGGTACCAATTCTAAAACAGAACTAGACAAGAACCAAAGGCTGAGTTGGGGACTAATGGGACCCAGTTTATCCCTACCAAAACTCTGTGCTGCTCCCACTCAGCAAGCTGACTCCAGAGTCTGCTGAATGAGCCTGCCATGCTCACCCAAAACTTCCCTACCTCTGGAAACAGAACAGAAAACACACCAAAGTAAACAAGACACACAAGTGGCCACAAAGACAAAATCAGGTCTCAGTTAATGGGGCGACATCTCACCATCATTTACTTACCAGGAGACTCAACCCCCTTACTCACCTCCGGAGGATTTTTCTTTTAGATTCCTGCAAACGTTGACTCAGGGGCCTTCCAAGGCGGAGGAGAATTCCCCAGTCATCTTGGGGCAAGGGAAAATAATCCCTAGCGGCCGTCTCCTCAGACTGCCAGGTTCTCCCCCACAGTCAGACCCACCTCCCCCCCAGCCAAGGCCCGAGGCTGAGATCTAACTGGGGCCATTTGCAGGTGGTCAGTGGCAGTTTCATAATTGACAAACAAGCAAGTTACAAAGGCAGAACCAGCAGTTTTTGTTTTTAAACGAACTAGGACAAGGTCTAGGGGTGTCCTGGGAGTGGACTCACTTGTTGTCCCATCTCTATAGAGAATACAAAACACACACTAAAAACAAGTAACACTAAACAGAGACAGATAGAACCAGAAAAACGCCGCCTGGCAGCTGAGCGACTACAGATGAGGAAGGAAACTACAGATGGGAGTGGCCGGTCGCCCCTTAACTCCCCAGTACAGAGAGACACTCAGGTCTCGTCATTCCTCCAAACCACCCGAAAGTGGAACTCCATGGTGGGGACCAGGGGTTTCAGGGCACGTCTGCCTCCCCCACTGGCCCAAATTCAGAATACAGGTCCTGTACAGGCACTTTTGGATCCCAGAATGCAAAACGAAAGTGACAAACACAGAAGAGGAGAAACACAAGAGTTCTATCTTACCTCCTGCCGGTCCTGGAATTTGGGGTCTGGGGGCGCAGGTATCTCAGACGAGCGCCCACTGAAAGACCCTAGCCCCCTAGGATATTTCCGTCGACGGGAGGGTGCCCCAGAAACTCATACTCTACACCGGGAGATGCAACAAGCAAGAGGAGTTTATTTGACGTTTGTGCAAATGGACTCTCTGCCTTGGGAAGGGAGAGAGCCCTGAGCAGCGGTTACAGGGATTTTTAAAAGCAAAGACCACAAGATTAACACAAGGCGTCCCGGGATTGGCCCGTTTAGAGGTCACCGTATACCCCAGCAGTCATTCCTTTTTTACACGGGAAATTTTGTAACACTCTTTGTAAAAGGACTGGCGTGGGGGGACTCAAAGGGGGGTGGTTACTTTGGACAGTAAGGGTTAGGGGAGTTCACATAGTTACAGGCTTGTGATTGGTTGATATTTGGCCTAGTTTTCTGTTCCTGCCAGATGGTCCTTATCTCAAGGTCCCCTCTGAGGAATTTCTAAACGGGAACTGGAAAACACAAACTGTCTGTTCTTTATCTATGACCAGAGACCTTGTCCTGGGGCCTACATCTGGGCTCTGAGACTCTACCCAATTCCTTATTTCCAGGGAGGGGGTTGGTGTTAGCTCAAGCAAGTTTACAAAAGCAAAATCAGCAGTTAGCAATTGTAAAAAGTAACTCTAATTTTTAATCTTTCAAGTAGCAGGGATTCTGGACTGAACCCAGTTGCATAACAAAGAAACAGGGAAGGATAGGAATGGACTAGGACAGTGAAAAGAACTGGGGTTCTAGGCCCCTCACACCCAAGCCCTGTTGGTTCCTATCTTCGACTCCCCTCACAGTCTGTCCTGGTATAGGACAAGTGAGGAGGAATCCTGCTTGTCCAGAAGCTTGGGATGATGTGTTCACATCAGTGACTCTAGAATGGCATTTGAACCTAAAATTGCACTCTATCTGTCTGTCATCCACCTCCTTAACCTGCAACATCCCCAGTGCAGACCTGGTTCATTTTCCTGGTATTTCTTCTGTGAAATGTGGGCTCTGTCCCATTGAGGAAAGGGTGACACCTGGGACCCACTCCTGCAGCCAATGTATTGAGGTATAAGTGCATGTGACCCCGGGAACATGTCACCCATGTTTCAAGTTTCTTTCTTTAGACAGTCAGAGAGCTTGAACTTGAGACTTGCCCATGTTCCTTCCTCCCTTTTTGCTCAAGGCTAGGCCGCTACCACTTTGAGCCACAGATCTATTTTCGGGTCGCTGTAGCTTAACTGGAGAGAAGAGTCTCAGAGACTTTCCTTCTCTGGGCGGGCTTTGAATTGGGAATCCAAGGTCTCAGCCCCTGAGTAGCTAGGATTACAGTCTTGAGCCCCTAGGGCCTTGCTTGTTTAGAATCTTAGATCTGATTCTACAGAGGAGAAATGCAGCCGCCTTCACCTCAGAACCAGACTCACCTTCCCTTAATGCCATTTCTCCAGGTTCACCCATTTCCCTGAACATGCCATCTTCTTCTTCCTGATGGATGAATAGAATGGGATTTTTCCTAATATATGAGAGACAGTAGGAGAGTATTTCCAGTGGTCTGAATGCTGGATGGAGAATGTTGAGTTCCCTTGGCACCATGCAGGCCTCAGTTTCCAATCCAGAGCCTCTGAATGAGACTCAAGGAACAGAGAGGATGGGAGATGCCCACGTGTTTATGGGGGTGATCCTCTTAGCCCAGACTGTGGTTGGGTTTCTGGGTAATTTGTCTCTTCTCTCCCATTATCTATTCCTTTCCTGCAAGGGGAACAGGATGAGAACCACAGACTTGATTATTAGGCACTTAATTGTGGCCAACTTCCTAAGTCTTCTGTGTAGGGGTGTTCCCCAAACCATGTTTGCTTGGGGCTGGAGAAATTTCTTCAATGATGTGGGGTGCAAAATGGTCTTCTATCTTCACCGAGTGGGCAGGGGGGTGTCGATCAGTAGCACTTGCTCCCTGAGCATATTCCTTGCTGTCAGTATCAGTCAGGGGGACTCCAGGTGGGCAGGGCTGAAGGGGAGAGCCCACAAGCACATTGTCTCCACTGTCTACCTCAGCTGGGGGGTTTTCCTCCTGGTGAGCATTGTTAATCTCAAGTTCACAACCGGACTCAAAGAACACGACAACATGACGAGCTTAAAGGCCTATGGATACTGTTCTTCCATGCATCAGGAGCCAGCTGCTGATGTGCTCTACGTAGTCATGGTCTCAGTGCCTGATGTTCTGTTTCTGGGGCTCATGCTCTGGGCCAGCATCTCCATGCTATTCGTCCTGTACAGACACAAGCAGAGAATGCGACACATCCAGATCAGCATCTCCACCAGAGCCTCTCTGGAGTCCAGAGCTACCATAATCATCTTCCTCCTGGCGAGCCCCTTTATCTCCTTTTATACAATGTCCTGCATTTGTCAGATTTGCTTGTCTGTGATTTACAACCCCAGCCCTGTACTGCACCATATGACGGTGTTTGTTATGGGCTGTTTCCCATCCCTCAGCCCTTTCCTGCTCATGAGTGGACACTCCACTCCCTGCAGCCTCCTCTTCACCTGCACAAAGAAGAAGAAAGCGGTCCTCCCCTGAGGACCACCACGATTGCATCTCTGCTGAACTTTGCTTGGTCATTCAACAATCTCCACACCTAGATAAAAGTCATCTGCTGAGAGATAGAGGTGTGCATACATGTCCACACCTGTGCATTTGTGTTCTGTATATCTGTGTGTGTGTCCATCTGTCTCTTTTGTGCTGGCCCACAAAATTATATGAATGTGGAAATGTGAGATTTTGAATAATGCTTATTAGGTCATGTCAACTTCCTCCAGAGAATCTGCCCCATTAATTGGTAATGGTGTCAAATTCAAGATAAACTGGTTAAACTCACTTAACATGTTTTCCTAATTCCATTTTGAGTCTTTTGATTTCTTTCTTTCTTTCTTTAATAGTTCCCTATGCAATGAAGCAAATCATTCTTAAAGCCCTTTCTGTTCTGGAGAAGAAAGTATTGGAAAGAAAATATCAGCTGGCAATTGTTTCTAACATATTTATAAGATGATTTCTATGTTACTTTGTATGTTCCTCACCCACGGTATAACCCATGCTTTACTCTATTTCATGTTGGTATAATTTGTGGAGGGGAAGGGAAAAAACAAATCTTTTAACTAGGGATACAAGTGGACCCATTGCAACAATTAGACATACAAGTCGTTATGTCAAAAAATGTACTTTACAACTTTGGTGGGGGGGAATCGGGTTGGGGGAGGGCGGGAGTATGGGAAGGGATGGGGAGGGGAAACAAAGAGGAGGCAACAATGCTTGATAAGAAACGTACTCGTTATCTTGCCCATATAATTGTAACTCCTCTGTAGGGTATTCTCACAATAAAAAAAATAAAGAAAAGAAAATAGCAGCTGGGTGTGGTGGTTGATGCCTGTGTTCTGAGTTCAAGAGGAGGCGAGATCTAAGGATCACATTTCAAAGCCAGTCTAGGCAGAAAACTCTCTGAGACTCTCATCTCCAATAAACCACTAAAAAATACAAACAAACATGGAGGTGGTGCTGTGGCTGAAGTGGTAGAGCATTAGCCTTGGGCAAAATCTTCCCAGGGACAGAATGGAGGCCAGGATTTTAAGCTCCAGGCCTGGTACAAAGAAGGAAAGAGAGAATGAGGGACACAGACACACAGACAGACACAGACAGCGAAGAGAGAGGGCAAGCCAGTAAAGAAGGAAGGAAGGAATGAAGGAAGGAAGGAAGAAAAAAAGGGAGTACTGCTGGTGTCCTACTGACCACAAACATCCAGGCTTCTTCCTGACAGTTACTCCGTTAGTCTTGTCCGTGCTTATTTCTTTCACATAATTTATTTTCACAACTCTTTCTTTTCCTTGGCAGTCTATGTTACATATCTCTAGACTCTCTGATAATTCAACAAGGACATTAAGTGAACTTTTGAAAAGCACCTTTTTTTTATATGAAGTTGTTTTAAATACCCGAAGGCTCCTTGAGAAAGTCTCTTGCTTGACTATTGTGACATTTCCTGCAGTGCTCCTCATGTCCCTTGTTATGAGGTCACTTTACCACAGCCCCTGGGGTGCAGGCCAGGGCTGCTGTGGTGAATGTGAGGAGGGGCCTCCTGTCCAAGGCTCTCCACCTCCACCCTTTTGTTCTCATTAATGAATTGCAGGGTGACAGCAAGCCAGAATTAGCACTGATGTCCCGGGGACAGTCAACAGCCCTGAGCACAAAAGCTCAGGGACAGGACCCAAGCGCTCAGCAATGCTCCACGCGCTTTTCTTCTTTTATATTTTGGTCAGCCTTGGGGCTTGAACTCTGGGCCTAGGTGCTGTCACTCAGCTTGATCAAGGTTAGGCTCTGCACCCCACACACCCCTGCAGTACACTGGAAGCACAGACACCCATCATCATGCTGACATGCATCCCTGTCTGGACTCATTACTTCTGGAGAGTTCCCACATTTAGGAGGTCTTTCTCCATCTCTGTCTCCTCCTTTTCTCCTGAGCACCCACAGTTCTGTGCCACCATCTTGTAGGAATCCCTTTCCTGTCCCCTGTGTCCTTGCCACACTGTGGCCGGACCCCTCGACTCCTGTTCCCCCACCGCACACCTGCTGGCAAGAGCTCACAGCCAGCTCCTGACTTGGCTTCATTCACAGCAGCCTCTAGTGACTATGCTCAATATGAAGGAGAGATGAGACACACTCACCTCTCAGTCGTGGGGATGACTTGAAGCTCCTAACAAAGCCTTCCAGGAAAAATGGGTTGTGACACAAAGGTGTGACTCAGCTCATGAACCGGCTGGGAGGTCAGCTTCCCCCCACACCCTGCATGCTTAGCTTGGGGGCTCCGGGCCCCACCCCTTGTGCACCTCCTGCTGGTAGAGCATGCCACACTGTGGTTGCCATCCTCGCAAAAGATCCAGCCTGGAGAAGCCCGGCCATTGAGATCAAAACAGGGGAATCCTGAAGGGTCAAGAAATTCCTGTCCAGGGGAAGTTTTGGGCAGAAGCTCTCATGCCCGGTTAGATCTGGGAGTAAATATTGACTGATGCCTAGGACAGTCGCCATCTGACTTCTGTTCCTGGGTCACACCGGAGTCCAGGCATGATGGTAGCCACTATTGCACACAGTATACACCTTGCCTCGTCATGTCCCTACCAGACTGTATCTACCTTCCCATTGTTTCTACTTCATTAAATACCCTAACTACTCACTTCTTACAGCTGATAGTGCCTTGGCGGAGAAACCTTTAAAGCAGATGGATCCTTGTTATAATGCCTTTTTTGGGGGGAGGGAAGCAGCAGAAAATCAGTATTGGGGATTGAACTCAGAGCCTGGGTGCTGTCCCTGAGCTATTTTACTCATGGTTAGTGCTCTACCACTTGGAGCTTAGTGCCACTTCCAGTTTCTTGGGGCTCCTGCACCCTGGGATCCCAGCCCCAAGATGCACAAGCTAGCTGTCAGTACCCAGAGTTTTCCCATATGGCCAGCAAAGAGAAAAAGATACGAGCTGTGGGTGGGTGGGGGAGCACTGCGTGACAGGGCCACTCTACACCCCTCAGGGAGGGGAGACTGAGTCTCATCCTGTGCAACACAGTGGCATGCAGATTTCCTGCTCAGGTACAGCCTACACTCTCAGCACTGTCTTCTGCCAAAAATCCTTTTCTATCGGTTCAGACTCGGTTCAGCTACTGCCTCCTGGAGACATTGCAGGCTGCCCCTCCCCCAGCCTGCCCACAACCACCGGCCCCTTTGCCTGGCTCCCACCCAAAAACAGTGCCAAGCCCAGCCACAGTCTCAGGCCTCAGGGCTAGGCAGGACAAGCTGGGGCTCCGGCGATCTCAGGGATTCTTCCTTTCTGACCTAGGACTCACCACAGGAAAAGAAGCACCCAGGGCTCAGAGCACCGCATACAGAACCGAGACACTACACTGCTGTCCTCTAAGATGCCAGCCTGGCATTTTGCTCTAGCCCACAATCATGCTGCAGTAATCACTTAAAAAGCCAATCCTGTGTTTTCTACAGGCGTGAGGCTGAGGCTTCTGCTTTTCTGTGTGGACAGCACTTCGTTTTCCCAAAGACACGGCACCTGCCACATGTGACTGGAGAGGCTCCCAGGCAACAAGTCCAGAGAAGAAGGAACATAACGCCCATTAGAACTCTGACCCCAAGTGTCAGGATCCCCCGGCGGCTCTTGGTCTGAAGCTCCCACGTTACCCCCCAGCCCCCGCCCCAGTTCTTTCCATCCAGGCAGGCAGAATATTGTCTGATGAGACTGTCCTCACAGCCGACATTTAGGTGTTAAATGGACTGAATGCTCTCCATGTCTGTAGTAAGCGTCACATTACTGTTTCCACCTTGTAGAGCCCAAGGCAGGTCTCAGGCTGGGAGTCTCACTCCAGGACTGCGGCTGCCTTCCAGCAGACTTCCGAGAGGACATCCTGCCTCCACCTTCCTCTTCCTCAGCCTTCCCCTCAACACAGTCCTGCAGTACATAAAGCTTGTCTTCCTGCACCTCTGCCTCTGTACCTCATCATCCAGGGCCCCTGCCGTGGGCTTCTCTCATTAAGCAGAAGCCATCTCCAGGCACCCCCACTGCACTGGGCCTCAAGAGTCCCCACCTTTAAGGAAGGAGAGGAATTCACTTCGGGTCCTTTCCACTCCAAGGGCCAAGGCAGTGGTGGACAGCTTCTTGATCCTGTTCAGCCAAAGCTGAGGAGAAATAAGGAGGGAGAATGTCAGTAATCCCAGACTCAAGGGAGCTCCACAGTGTTGGGAGCAGATGTTCAGCACACTCACCATGCCCTCCTCTGACCTGGAGCTCACAGTTCAATATAAACAGCGCACTTTCTGAGTTCATGTAAGATCACACACCCTGCTTACCACTGGCTACTACACCACATACTCCATTTAGCAGCAGCGGCTGCATAGCATGCATGCATGCATGCTCTGGGCCAGGACCTAGACAAGGTACACACACCTGCGACCTCACTGAACCCTCCAAGCAATCGTACTAGGTAGGAAGCTGGCTCAAAGCGTCAGTCCTGTGAGGCACAGCACAAGGCAGAAACTCTGGCCAGCTCACAGAGCTAAGAGGATGGCTGGCGGAGCAGACATTTAAACACAAGGCTTGTGGCTAATGGTGATGATGAGAGAACAAACAATAGGATACTATTACTACAAAAACAAAAGTCAGGTATGCTGATACAGACCTGTAATCCCTGTACTCAGCTGACTGATGTGGAAGAATAGTGACTTCAAACCTGCCTGGCTTACATAGTAAGAACTATTCTCAAAATAGCAATGAGCACATAGGGGCATCCACAGCTGTGCTGTGGGTAACACCATGGGTGAACGGGAACCCGAGACTGTACAGGTGGGTCTGGGTGCACAGTTTCTGGCTCATTAACTACCTCTGGAATGCAGGCTATAGAACCTGAGCTTTGTTTCAGAAGAGGGCCATGATAACTACTGGACCCAGCGTTTCCATCTCAGAGCCATCGCAGCAGAATCCTGACCAGTGTCTGATGGTACATCCGAAGACCTGTCACGGGATGGGTCCAGCCCCATGT